CGCAAACGAGCGAAGACCGTATAAGAAAATATTAAGCATTTATTTTCCTTTCTCTACAATCCTCCTTCAAAACTTTCGTATGAACAGTCGACAAATACAATCAGCAAACACGATTCTTTGTACCTCAGACAGTTATCGCAACAATGAATTTTCACAGCCTAGTTCTAAACATCTCACGACCCTGGAAGACCCCACCAAGTCTTTGCATTTATTCACTTCATTATTTAAACTAACCAATGTTACATTGTTGCTGCTGTTATTAACAAGCTCGAGAAAAGGTCACGTGGCTTCCTTGTGAACGCAGCGATAAACCGTCCGATCCCACAAAAGCAGAGAATTTACTGACCAAATGAGCAACTGTCAACGTTTCAAGAACCCTGTATCATGGGTGAGTTGTTTCGTAAGGAAGGGGGACTCCTACTTCGCTGGGTGAGTTAGAAAAACGGCTCCTTCCAGATGCATAACTACTCAACATTCACGATCATCTTTCCATCTTATTCGACGCCGTGTGACATTCAGTTGGAACAGCGTCATTAAATAACACGAAGTGCAATTACCGCGTCATAGCGTCAGTGTGATGGAAACAGGTTTTCTGGCTGCAGTATCTGGCACATACCATTAGCCTGACAGTTATAAAACAGGCTTCGTGTATGTTATTAATGGCTAAAATTAGATCTTAAAACAGCGCACTCTTCCGTGTGGAAAAGGTGTTTCCTTCCTCTGCCATTCTCCGTCTTCGACACGCCGTTACACTCGTGACATCAAAGATCGACCTTCCTCGATTTATTTCTGTGTATATCGATACCAAAGTAATGATGGTGCATACACTTTAGTGTGAAGGCAGCCATGAATACTGATCCGGCAAACTACAGATAGTAACAACTCCTGACTATCAATTATTTAAAACTGGCATGGGTCTATGTCTAAACGTATCTTTAATTTATGTCTTAACCACCTACGGAGGGGATTCGACAGGGAAATTAATCTAAGCTTGCTGAGTATCGCAATGCGTGATGATCGTGCAAGCTGACGTCAACAAGCTTGTGGCGACGTGATAAAGTGTTACTTTAACAAAATGAAGAAATATCCTGCATTTGTTTTTCTGCCGACAAAAATACCAGAACCAATCCAACAGCTACGTTTAAAAAACGTGGTCCAGATCCGGACTGTGATACATCGTCATGACAGGTATTACGCCACGTAGCTATTATAACCTCAATTAGACATCAAATTCATTTCAAACAACACGTAAGAAAAAAGAGTTAGGTGTCAAAAAATTATACTGTTCAGTAATTAAGAACTGGTGCCTGACTATATTCGGGGACAGACTGTTTTCATCGTCATGCGCACCAAAATTATACCTGCACTGTATATGTCCTTTCAACAATTTAAGATTTCACTGACGAAATTAAATTATAAAATACGACATTACATTCCAGCTTTATGTTGGTTGGCGTTTCCATCTATGGAGATCAAAAAATTAAAATTATTACACGAGCAATGACTTTTTAAGTATCCAAACAATACAAATCTCACAGGCTATTTATTTCTCATCATCAGCGTATCTTCCAGACAGGTTCAACAGAATTATATTAGACAGTTCGTCAGTTCCTGGAATGACAACTGTTCCGGTAACGAAGCTGCTCACTGCCATGACAATTTCCCAAAGAACTACCAAACCGTAATCTTTTAACGGCACAAGTTTCTGACTAGGCAGACCAAGTTCCTGTATATCTGATCTATGATGCTTCCAAAAATTCTAGACCCCTTCCTCATACCACTGGATTCAATGACTTTATCTCGAGAAAGCAACACACAAAAAGGACGCTGATTCAAGAAAGGTATAAACAAGTCAAGCGCAAAACCTGATTCAGATAAACGAATAAGATATATTAAACATGAACTCAACTGGAACCAAAACAAGTATGAAATCAGATAACCCAGTTTACCATTAATTTTGCTGGTAGTATAATGGCGATGGAACATTTTCTGACATGCGCACGTTGCAACAGATTATCAGTGCGTTGTACGTTCACTCTCAAACAAACAAACTTTGCGCGTAATTGATTATACAGCCACAACGCCAGTTTAAATTATAACTAAAATTAAACCGACTGCCATTTGTCATGAGAATACAATTTAAAATTTGCATACTCGGACCTACATAACGAGCAGAGAGATCACGCAAGGAAATTAATTACTTGTTGTGCCTGACATTAACTGAACCACAGCTTCAACACTAAGGATTCGTGTGGTTGGTGGCACTAACACCGAAGTACAGTAATGCGTAGCTCAAATTAATTTTAAAGTGTAAACTTGCCATAAATCATAAACTATCCTTAACACTAACAACGTCATTCAAAAAAAAACTGTGAATATTTCAACCTCCCACTTAATGGTATCTGCACCTTGTCGTGGTCGTGGGGCTTGAGTACCTCGGTGACCCCTAGAGCTACTGGTAGGGCGTCCCTAGACAGATTGGTCGAGGGGGAGAGGTCAGACTAAGACAGGTACCCTGGTCCTCCAGGTTGGGAGTTGGTCGCAAGGCTAACAACCTTGCACCGTAAAAAGGAAGACGTTTCGAAACCTCGATCAAAGCCTCGGACAGACGGACCTAACAGAGGACCGAATGGAAGAGGAGAATTGAGGAGGCCACGGACCGAATACAGACTGGAGAGCCATAGAAGAAGAAGAAGAATAGAGACAAATACACTTCTCTAACTTGTTTAGCCATTATTTTTAAACCACACAATATTTTCTTTTTTTGTTGTGATGGAGTGGAACTGGGCCACCGATGGGTCCAACGGCTGTCATCCAGATGACACACGAGTGAATATGCAGCCGCACGGGAATTATGATGACAGTGGAAAACTAAGTTACCCACAAAAAAAAACCTGTCACAGAGTACAATCCTATATCAAATAACCACTCGAAGTTCAGTCTCCAACAGCGATGAAACATGCACATGGATGAGCAGAGTGGCATGACATCACCACTGTGTGTTCACTTTACACAAAACAAAGAACCCTAAATAAATCTCCATAATCTGAAGAAATATTACATTATTAAAGACAATACTGAATTTAAGATCAGGGCTTGGTTTAAGAACTGCAGTATCAACATAAAGAGGACAGAGAGTCTTGAGATGTAATGAACACTGTAATAAACAGGCAAGTAATTTCAGGACTCGGCGGCAGTCTAAATCAACGCGCCCGTGAAATACACACATCACAAGAATTTAACATTCCTGGAGTCAGCATGAGGAAGGTAAAGAAGCAACAGAAGGACGAACACGATGACCTTGCTAAAATCAGGTTTCTAGCCAAACTGCTTCAGACCAAGGTAAGATAAACGACCTTGCATCACTTGAAAAGCGGAGAGCCTCCAAACAGCGCATTCACACCGGCTACTGCTCGTCTTTTATCTTACACGTCATTACGCTTCAGATGCAAAGACAAGGCAAAATTCCTTCTCTGTATTGAGCACGTACCAGGTTTCGTTCTTGGCCCCGAGGCTGGCTAACCTGACTGTGATTTTTTATGCTTTCCTCAGTCCCTTCCAGAAAATGGACAGACAATATCTCAAAAGCCTCCCTCATTCTATTTCACCACTCACGATCATCCTCTCATCTACACGCAACAGATCTGAGAAAGTGTACAGTGACACAACGGTAAAAATATGGGACTAATCTCATGATCAGTGTCGATTGGCTACAAGATGATGTCAACGAGAAAATAACCCGATATTTTCTCGTATCACTTCAGTCAACAACGCACAAAGTAGTCCATTTTGAAGGAAAAAGGATAAAATGCTGAAATTCTGCAATTAAGAAAGTAAGAGACGTCCATTACAAATACGTACAGAGATGATAGTTTCTTTGTTCATCCAAACACTCAACTTTCTTCCTGCTACCTTCTACATATTCCCTCTGGAGTCGTGGTACCAAATAATCAGTCACTAGCGTCCTCAACAAAATCAGCATTCCTTATTCAGAGAGGTTTTGGTATAAATGAAGAAACTCCCTTGTCTCTCAAAGAGAATTTAATTTTGAAAAATGTTTTTGACTCATACTTTTGCAGTTTAAAACTTCAAACGTCGTCGACTGTATTTTTCAACGCCACGGGCTCGGCCTTTTAGTAGCGACCGAAATACGTCTGCGTTATCCGCAAAAAATGAAAACATATAAATTTTACATTATTACGCAAATATATATTTTTTTCTTAATTTGTTTGAGACATAAAACAAAAGTAAACAAACATGGAATATGCAATCATACGCAGAAACATCAATCAAAAAATCAGATAACGCTGCATTTTCAGTGCATAACGTAACCTGGAACCAAAACTGGTAAGACGGTTACAAATGCTTATTACTGTCACGCGGGATTCCCGGCCGCATATGCAGGCCAAAAGAACCTCAGCCAGGCCGAGTGGCAGGTAGATGGGCAACATTAAGATACCAAACGCACAGCTGCCACACACCTAAAACAACCACTGCTCGTCGAATAAGCACATTCCATCCTAATTAACTCCGGAAAGGCTCTTTTCCTAAGTTGCTCCTTCCACGAAATATTTATACATTTTCTCCATCCACACAGACCTCTATATGGCCTCCACGTGACCTTCCCACCTACATAAAATGAATAATCTTTTATTCCGAGCCGAAATACAGAAAAAATTAAAGCAGCAGAAAGGAAACAACAATTTCTGATGAAATCCTGGTAAAACCAATATCAGCAAGGCTGACCAAATTAAGTAGAAAACCATCAAATACCAAAAGCAACAAACAAACATACGCAAAAGAAATCTATAGGGAGATTCAAAATAAGGTCGACCACCACGAGAAGTCTATATACAAAAAGAAGAGAAAATAAATGTAAAGAGAGAAAGAAAATCAAAAAGTTACAACATGGATATGGAAATTCTCGTGGGTGGTGATGATGATGATGATGATTATAATGACTTCTAAATATTATTAAAAACATGTAATAAATTACTTACCCTTAAGCTGCGTGTTTTCGATAGCAAACATATTGAGGGCCAGAAGCTGCAGAAAACGATTTGCGTTAAGAGGAATTGGAGAATGTTGTAGTAGAGCACGAAACTCTCGTAGCATCTGCAATGCTGCTTCTTGAAACGTCTCCATTCTGCAACAAAATTAAAGGTACATAAGTAAAGTCATATTACGACATGCACAGGAAAGAGAAAAATATACTCACAGTTAGCAAATATGAAATCATAAGATTTGAGGTTTTCACGGTGGTGAGTATGAAGATCTCTGTCTTCTGGGTTGTTGCGCTATGTAGTCTGGTCGATGTTTTCATCGCCCTGATGATGGAGGCAGTATGACCTCCAAAACGTTGGTTAACATCGACCAGACTACACAGCGCAACAACCCAGAAGACAGAAATCTTCATACTCACCGCCGTGAAAACCTCAAATCTTACATCTTAATTAAACTAACAAGTTCCTTTGGTATTCCGAACCCAATCAAAATGCCATATAGCACCTCTCTTCTAACTGAGTCATATGCCTTCCTAAAGTCCACAAATAGTTGGTGTACTGACTCAGTATATTTCCACTTTTTCTCTAATTGTCGAATGCAAAAGATCTGATCAATAGTTGACCTATTACGGCAGAATCCACATTCATCGTAAGAACAATCAGAATTTTTAATCTTCAAATGTGAAATTATATTTTAAAAGCATTATTTCACATTCATTTCCATGATTTTGACACAGTTTATAAATTTTACATTCATTTTGACTTAGGGACATTCCAGCTACATATACGATAACTGTAAAAAGACGCAGACATATACGTACCCAATTTTAGTAAACAGTTTGCCATGGACGTGAAGGTAGCTTGTAACAAATCTCTTGTTCACCTGTGAAAGAAAAATTTTGATATTCCGATTATACAAATACTTAGGCAACCCATTCTTCAATGCCTTGAGCATCTGCGGGTCCCAACTTTCATTGGCTTTGATCTATTCGACCAGTGGTCCCCAACGCGGTGCCTGCAGGCGCCAAGGCTTTTTTTGGGTGTCCGCGTTGTTACGGAAAGAGGTTATACTGAATAATGAATGCCGTTCAACCATGAACATTATAAAATCAAAGCGCAGATCTCGACTTACTGACGCCCATCTTGACGATCGTTTGCGAGCAGCAACATCATCCTACACTCCCAAATTTTAAAAACTGGCCGATGAAATGCAGCGCCAAACATCACACTAACTTCCCACTTGAGTAATAATAATTGTACTTGTAAAAGTACATATTTTTTGATTGCGTGGTTTCTTGTATCATTAAACGTCGTGTTGTTTTGCGTATTTAGTGTCCACATCTTATTTGTCCAGAAAAAAAAAATTGGCTTTGTTAATTGGTTGGCGCCCGCCACGATCTCATAAACTCTTAAATGTGCCCGTAGGCACAAAAAGGTTCGGGACCACTGATGTACGTAATCAAGCATGTCACTTTTCTGGTCTAATATTGAAATGCAAGTTTGGAAAACATTGCAAGCAACATGTAGATATGTTGCCGAAGTGTCAACGGTGACAGCCAAGTTTATTTTAAATTCTATTATAAGCATTCTCATTTGGATACAACCTGGGTACTGAGGCGCTGAATATAGTTGCTCTTCTACTGGAATAACGCACAGAATCAACAGCAATGGAACACCAAATACTTTCCACATACTCTAAAGTAAGTATTTACAAGTTTATCAGAGTTAAATAGGAAACTTGGATGCATAAAGCACTTATGATTAAAAAACGTTCCAAGTACTCACATACAGGAGAACCCACACACAAAATTCAGAATACCACACGTAAAAGACGCAACTATCCTGTTATCACCGAGCTTATGAGCACAGGAAATTATAGGACACATTGATTCTAGTGCTCAAATTAGGAAACGACCAAAGGAAAGTCTGGTACGACCCACACAATTTTAAAATACATTTCAGAAGAATTTCTGTCCCTTTAAAACCCTAAAAACACTTGCATGTGACAAACTAAATTCTACAGGTGATCAGAGAGATCTGTAGTTTTATTATAAGCATTCAGATATGAATTTTTAACGGAAACTGGTTCATAGGTCTCAAGTTCATCAGAACACGCAGCGTAACAGAAACTGGTTCACAGGTCTCAAGTTCATCAGAACACGCAGCTTGAATAAAAAAGGAGGGCGATGAAAATTTTTAGGTTCATTTTCGACGATAATTGTGTTATTCTGTATTGCTGTAAACAAACCTCGATGCTGCTGAGTGTCACAAGTTCCTCCTCGTCACTGTCAGTTCTCTGCTGGTCTTGCACGGTGGACGTGGTGATATGAAGTCGAGGCCGTCCACCTTCCGGATGTACCCAATATTCTCTTCTCAACCCATTGCCCCCGCACTCTTTTCCAGCCCCTTCTTTCTCCTTCATTCGCTCACGCTGTTTCGCATCCCGTTCTTCTCGACGCTTTCTTTCTGCCTGCTCATACTAAAAAATGTGAAATTCCAGTCAGTTTAAAATTTAGATTGTAGAATTTAAAAGTAGATAAAGTAAAGGGAAGAAATGTGGAAGAGATTAAGATAAAGGAACCATTACCTATACCCGCAGTCCTACGTGAGCGATTAAATGCGAGCGGTGCAAGTTGCGCGGGTGAAGTGGAAATATCAAACTGGCTGTTTGTGTGGCGCTGTCCTAGGTTTCAGCGAAGCGGCCAAAGTCCGAGATCAAATATTTTGATATTTTCGCGCGAGTCGCTGCGCTGACCAGTAAGGCGCATGCGCAGGAAGGCCGTGTGCTTCTATTGCGGTCTCTCACGTAGGACACGACAAGCGATTCCCCGCTTCATATGACACCCCATGCTGCTTATGCAGCTCGGGTACCTCGCTTGTTATCGCTTACGTAGGACATTGCCTAAGAGTTGAGCATATTCATTAAGTTCGAGTAAACGTAGATACCTTCCTGTCAGTCGTTGGCACCTAAATCTCCGAACATAATCTTCATACAACATTTATAAGACTGATCATCCACAAAATCCAATTAAGCTGTTGCTGCTTAAATCACCAAAGGCTGACACGAATAAGGTGTTGCAAAACAATCATTCAAGAAATTTTTGGAAATTCATCTTAAATAGTAGCAACTGCATTTCACATGTGCAATAAAGCATTCATGACATTACCAACGGTTTAAGAAACTACTCACTTTCTTTCTACTCTCATCAAACAGGGAGAGGAGGCTTTCTCGAGCAGATTGAAATGGATTCGATGCCATTAAACTTCTCATATAGTAATAGACTGCATCCAATTTTCTTCTCTGCGAATGAAAAACATGTGATAAAAACTAAAACAGGAACCATAAATTTCTAATCTAAGACATCTATCTGTTCATTCATACAAATGAGTGCACCCAAATTATTTCATTTGTTTTTTTTTAATACAAAATCTCTACTTGAAAATTTCTAGTTTCTTCCAGTTCTGTAACAATATTTTATCTTTCTAGGGAACAAACTTGTTGAATAATCTGTCTTCAAAGCTTTTTGCAAGTTTCTTGAGTTCTCAGGCTACCTCTGTGATTGTGGTCTTCTCAGTTTTAAGAATTGTGATGAAACAAACACTTTCCAACCTGGATTCTCAGAAAAACTTCTACATGAATATTGGAGACTGTTCCTATGGTCAAGCTGGACTTCAATATCAATATCAATGAGAAGGAAAATCAAGTGGTTTGTGGACAATTGTGTAGCGCACATGCAGCAAAAACCTACACCCACGATTTCTTCTGTAACTTTTTCATTTTTCCACCTCTTCACGGTGCTACTAAATTCCCACACATTATAATAGGCAGAGATAAACATCCCTGTCGCTGCCGGCAATCAAACCCAGTTGGCTGGCCTATAAGTAATCACTGTACCAACTGAGCTGATATACATAAAAAATGATTACAGCAATAACAAAGTTCAATACTTACAGCATACACAGCCAGTATCGCCAACTGATTATACGGACGACCATTCTTTGGATTAATCTGATGCGCCTTGATATAACACTGCCGAGATTTCCCAAAATTTGATGTTTCGTTAACCTGTTCCTTATATCTCGCCAGATCCCCAAGGAACAAGAATATCTTCTGTGCAGATACCAATGCCAAACCAGCAAATCCGAGGCCTTTTGTTGATACATTGTTTGGAGATAGGAAAGTTTCCAATTTAAATTTATACGTCTGCTCCAGTACTTCCAGAAGATTCTCAAAGTACGCAGTTCCCTATAATTTAATCAGAATTACAAAATGTTTAAACTGTTCGAATAAATCCAAAGGAAAAACAGGTACGCAATAACAGCAACGAAGACTATACTGAAGCGGCCAGAAGACTCAAAGAGTTTCCCCCCTCTGTATTCTCCTCAGGCACCCTCTGGTCATGTCAACCTGCCAAACGCACTTGTTGCCATCTCGGGTTATCACTCCTGAGAGCAGAATGTCCAAGTACGCTGGTGGTGGTGGGTGCATCGGCAAGGGAACTGCTGAGGTAATCAATCCGTGAGACTCCTTTATATGGCCTCAGCACAACTTAATTTAACAGACCCTTTCCTTGCTGTATCCATACACATATGGAGACAAACGGCACGTACATTCTCTACTCCAGGTGACGTGCAGAGTCCAGAAGCATCCTTACGAGTTACATTACTGAAGGAGTCCAAAGTACGAGAGCTATTTATTAAAAGGACAGATCAAGAAACTGTATTTCTCCGGCTGCACTTAAATGGATTCAGACTGTACAAATATTGTCTCCAATGCAGGAGAAAGGACAGTCACAGGTAAAATAAATTTTAAATGAAGGAGCATTAAACACTGTTGTACTATTTGATTAACTGGTTAGGTTATGTATAAAATTAGAGACTACCCTCTTGAACATAAAATGAAAAACATTCCGTACCTGCTCTATAAGTGTGAGCATTATGTGTTTATACTGTTCCTTGTTCTCCACATTTTCAGCAACGCTCTTGCGCAGAAGTTCAATAATGTTGTAAAACAAAATCTTCCATAAATGCTGTTCAACATTTTCTGTTTGGCAGAATTTGAGATCTGTTACCAACAGCGTATGAAGGCACTGTTGGAGGTACTGTCTGTAAAAGAATAACTTTAGTTAATTAAAATAAAATGGGGTAAAGACCTAAAGGACCATATATATTCAAGTGCGTTTCTTAGTTGCATGCTTGTAGAAGCACGAGCTTCTGACTCCATAGTACGCTTTCTCTCCTCCTTCTCAGTCACTCCGAGAAAATGAGCTGTGAACTGAAACGTTAACTTACAAAAACGTATTATTTATATACTCCACGGCGATGCTTCCTTCGCCTGACTATAGAAAGCGAAGTGGAATCAATGGAAACGGCAAATAGAAGCTTTACGTCTGACATGTCTTTACAGTAACAAAAACTAAAGATTATTAACATCAATGGAAATGTGAATGAAAGACACGCGTGCATACAAATCTAACAAAACAAGTTTCTTTAAAGTAATGGGTTTAGGTAAATATGCAGTAAAACTATTTTCACGCTAAACATAAAAATAAGCTGAACATACATTAATAGTCATGTTTCAAATAGGGATACGTATTATTAAAGCAACATTTTTCTAAGATTCAATTCACTTTCACCTTACCTAATATAAACCACTTGATTCCAGTCCCGTAAAATACCGCCAGTAGAGAGAATCCACTGCAATTCCATATCTGCTCGTTCAATATCTAACAGCAAATGAGGGTTTCTTGCGCTTCGAAAACTAAAACAACAGGTACAATATTACAGTCTGATTTAGTTCTAAAATTCCTTACACTTTACAACAACAAAGTATCTGCACAAAACACAAAGTTTTACTCAGTTATCACACCAAGATACTGTTGAAAATGGCTGTCATTTGGGTCAATGCAATGTGTAGTCTGATAGAAGTCTACGGACGTTTCAGAGGTGATTGCTGTCTCCATCAGGGCAATGAGTGGTAGGAGTTTACTGATGATTAAGAGGTGGTTGCTGTCTCATGATGAAGGCGGCAAACATATCTGAAATGTTAGTAAACTTCTACCATACTACAAGAGGGCAGCGCCCTAATTAAAGATGTCAACCATTTGTGTAACAGCAGTTCTTGCAGACATCACCACACAGATTAAAGCATTTGTTGATAAGTAAACTTCACAGGTTCTTCCCAGATCTTATAAATCTTCAAAATTTTTGAGTTACGTTCTACCATTTCAGACAAATTAAGCTTGAATTCAAAGTCATGAAAAAATGTATCCCACAAAGTCATTCTTTCACGCGTTCAAAAAACACAGCGAAGCAGAGAAAGTACCCATTTCACAGGTACGTACCTGTTTGAATAGGGGTCGTACCATGTAGGACGGGTGTTTCCAAACTGATCAGTGACGTACGAGCTCTGACCCATGCCATCTTGACAATGAGACATACCAGGGTACTGAATATAACCAAATTCTGGTGTATGAGTTGAAACAAATCCAGCGGTAGGAACTGGCAAAGTGACGTCACTTTCCCTGAAAACAAAACACCACCGAAATCTCAATTCCTGTGTTCGTACAACATACAAATAAACTACTGCATATTTCAAAATATGATCTGAATGTAACCACATTCCACGACAAGCTTAACAGGATAGCCAATTTAGAGCTAAGGCAATGTCCTACGTAAGCGATAACAAGCGAGGTACCCGAGCTGCATAAGCAGCATGGGGTGTCATATGAAGCGGGGAATCGCTTGTTGTGTCCTACGTGAGAGACCGCAATAGAAGGACACGGCCTTCCTGCGCATGCACCTTCCGTGTACTGCACGGTCAGAGCTCGCGCGAAAATATCAAAATATTTGATCTCGGACTTTGGCCGCTTCCCTCTCCTGACCGCTTCGCCGGAACCTAGGGCAGCCGCTTCGCCCACGCAACTCGCAAATCGCTCACGTAGGACAGCGGGTAAGACTTGAACCAGGTCAGATGCATCATGATGGGACTGAACACATTCCTGTGTAAGGACATCCAGCCCACAGGACAAGCTCCAAACCTTCTAAAAAGTAATATCACTGCAGATGATAATCTGTCTAGCTACCTTCAAAGAAAACTACAAACCAAAACGATCATATATTTTCTCAACAAACTACTAACCAACTCCGAAGGCAACCATTCAATTGCCTCTCAATTCTAATTATTCTTCAACCTGTACTCCCAGCTTATGACGGTAACATAATAAAATGTATTATTGCTATTTTAACCTTGAATGGAGTAACTGTACTGCTCTGGCCCCTGGAGAAGATACAATAATCGGTTTGCTGGGGTTATTGGGGTCAAACAGCTGTCGCTGCTGCTGTTGAAAAGGTGCAGGATTTGGTATACATCCTCGGAATGCCGGAAAGTTGCCCGTATAGTCCGACTGATCTTGAGGATGGCAAAACCCCATCACGTGGTTTTGCTGAACTTGATGTTCGGGAGCTTGCGGAGGTATTACCAAAATTCCTGCAACGTAGTTTCCGCCGCTAGCTTTTTGCTGCGGTGTTGCC